CGACAGTTTGGTTTCCCTAAACTTGACACTTAATTTTAACTCAAATGATATAGACACAAAAGGAACAAGCGAGACTACTAGTGAAGTATTTGGTCATATTTGTTGCCCGACAAACTCGATAGGGTCTTCCTTTGCAATTACTTGGTGACCACCAGAATTATCATAAAAGGGATAGGACAATGACAAAGCGAGTGATGCATATGGATATGTTCTCAAACATATTTAACTAGTTTGGCTTCACTGCCACTCCTTGGTTTGGTATGTCGATCGCTCGAAATCGAAGCTCATGCTGCAGTGCACTGTAAACTCATACCTGTTAGAAACAGAGTCGTGTTTGATAAGCTACATTGGAACACCATTCTTTATATATAGAAGATGATGATGTTAATCCATTTTGGTTCGAAAGTTTCCGATGAGTAAACAAGAGGTTGGTTAGTGTTCTATGCCTTGAGAAGTATCTCAAGTTCCAAATCCAAACTCCAGTATGAGCATGCCGCTGTCGAAATCAAGTCATTCTTCTTCACCTGATCTTACTTCAAGACTTTAAAGCCTTTTTGTTAGGTTGTTTTGTTTCTACATATTGCTAATATGCATGCAGTGAAGTGTGCCTAGGAATCAATTTCAAACTCTTTTCTAAGTCATCAAATAAAACTCCAATCTAATTCTGATGTGTTTTGTTTCATTAAAAAGATTGAAACTTTTTTATAAAAAAAAAGTTGAAACTTGAAATTAATGGTCAAATATTATGACCTTCGTAACATACTAACATCAGAGTCTTGTCAAATTATATAGAAATGGATGGGTTTATAATCTCTAGAGTCAGAATTCTAATCTTGTTATTTTGTTACCACAAGTATCCCCAAATATCTCCAAAATGGTATGATATTGTTCACTTTGGACATAACCCTCACGACTTTGCTTTTGTTTTCACCCAAAAGGCTTCATACCAATGGAGATAATCGTCCTCATCTATGTATCATGAATCACTATCTTCCTTAATAAATGTGGGACATTGTCTATACACCTTGCAACCCCAACAATCCTCCACTCGAACAAAGTATCACTTGTATCTTGCCTCAAATAGTCATTCATTCATCTGCTCCTTGACATGAGAGCCTGATTTGCGACTCTCAACCAACAACAAGAGTTTGCTACTATCCAACACGTCTAGGTAGAGCACTACTACACGGATCATATTGTGGGAACTTTAGGTGTCAACCATAAAGTACACCATTACCTCTCCTTAGACAAATATATCTCGTCTTCTATCTAGAAGACCAATGGGAATTGATCGAACTACTTTTTCTATCAATATCCTCGACTTGATAGAATGTCTTGCTCGTCTTCGAGCACTTTTTGTTCGACCTGAGGATTCATCCACAATTTCCGTAATGACTATAGGGCTCACCAATCAATCTTATTCGGTCTCATCTCCAAGGATCTCTCTTACATAACTCGGTTTTTTTTTTATCATGGCTTTGATACCACTTGTTAAGGACAAAGATATCCCTAAGTTTGTTGGGAAAAAATATAAACCAATCGATAGTTGAGTACATTCTTCAAACAGGAACTACTTGATTTTCCCCTTCCACATGTTAAAACACATAAGTAAGTAACAATGTTATATGGAACAAGAGATAAGGATAAAAAAGCTTAACACTAATGGGATTCTATTGGTTCACCCCAATCTTGGGACTAGGTCCAGTCTTCTGCAAGCACATTCTATTATAGTTGGGAATATTAGAATGAAGATCTCGCTCAAGATATTACAATGACTTTCTTGCTTCTAAGTATCCTAACAATGGCTAGGATTATACAATTGAAAATACTCTCACTAATGCCCACGGATACAAACTCTTTTTCACACACTACCCCACAACCACTCAAGTCTTTTTTATTTGGTTTCTGTAAAAATAAAACGTTAACAAAAAGACTATATTTTATTGAAAGCCAAAAAATCATAATCCTTATAAGAAAACAATATCCTAATCTTTATAAGGAAGCAATATCTCTTTGAAGAATTCGTAGTAGTATTGAAAATTATTTTCCACGTAGGACACTGAATCTCCTATTTTGGCTCTATTATCCCACCAACTTGTATATTAGTATATGTTTTCTTTACAAAACCTCGGGAAAATAAAGTACAAGTATACACCAAAAATTAGTTGCAGTAATGAAACAAGGTCGTAACTTACTAGTATTGAGATTAATACTTCAAAATTCACTCAAGAACACCAATTACTACAAACTTTAATATTGAGGATATTGATTGAGGTTAATATGAATTTAAACAAACAGGCATGTAAAAATAAACTTTAAATGACGAGAGGTACTAAGAATGAGCTATTCTCTGGGATGTAGAAAGTGATAGCAAGGAGAACTTGTAACAGTAAAATGAAAACGGAGGAGATTTATTGCACTGTATATACTAATTTCAATAGATGCCCATTGATTTCTAGTAAACAAAAAAGTTTTTTTGAGATATGTAATTTTGGAAAAGTAAGATAAAATAAATGTTAAGGCAAATAAGAGAAATTTAAAGCAAACAATAAAATTATAAAATCAATTGCAAAAATAAATAAGAGGGAGGGTTAGAGAAATTTGACACTGTAAATTTTTACAGTGGTTTCGCATAACTGCCCTACCCCACTTCCCAAGCACCTCTTAGGTTGTAAATTGAAATTCCGACTTTTCCCACGGTAGGGGTCAAACCAGTACACTATCATTTTCAAGAGCAAAGACGATCCTCTCCACGGTGAGGATCACACCGTTACAATGAGTTGGAAATTTTGAAACACACCCTTACAAACTCTCAAATAGAGTGAATGTACACATTTTAGCTCACAAACCATTCAATCCTCACAACAATAAAATTTCTCTCACAAATAAGATGAAAAAAAAAACTTGAGAACTTAGAGAGAATAACAATTAGAAATTTTGAGGTTATGGAAGATTGAAAATAAGAGTGGTATAATTTTGGAGGAGGAGATTGGATTCAAATAGAGGAGGAAAAATGGTAAAAAAATCAAGTTAATTTTGAACTATTAGATCTTAATTATCGAAAATGAAGGGCTATACTTTTAAAAAAAGAAAATAATAATAATAATAATAATATACCAACTGTCCACCTCATCTTCTCGGATATTTTTCCGTCAAACTTGTTTTGATCGTAACTTTTTCATTTGAGCTCCGATTTGAATGATCCAGTAGTCATTGGAATCGTTGTAACGAGCTCTACACTGTGGACACTTTAAAAATACTAAAATATCAATAAATAAAATTAGGTTTGTTATCATTAAAATATTAATTAATTAATTAATTAAAATTAATTAATTTGAGATTAAGGGTCAAAAAGCCAACAAGGACTATGTAACTTGGAGCATTTAAACTGCTCTCTAAATTTATGGAATTAGACATTAGCTATATAGACAGTGGGTAAAATCCGGGTAAAAAGAAGTTATCGCACTGTCCTAATAATCCTGCAAAGTGATGCTCCATCATCGGGTATCCTAGCATTGAAGTCTGATCACCTCTTCCATATCTGAAGCTCTCGCATTTCCTATATTAGTGATAAAAATCCGGGTAAAAAGAAGTTACCGCACTGTCCTAATAATCCTGCAAAGTGATGCTCCAGCATCAGGTATCCTAGCATTGAAGTCTGATCACCTCTTCCATATATGAAGCTCTCGCATTTCCTATATTAGTGAACTAAGTCGAATCTTACACATTCATTACAAACAAGGATTCAGGGATGATTTGCATGTGCATTATGCTCTAAAACAAAATAAATAAATGAACGATTTTTTTTCTTTTATTCTTGAATTTTTAGGTTTCTTAAGAGTGCATTAGATTGGTGATAAAAAACAGAAATTTGAAAATAAGAGATTTAATTAAAAATAGAATTGTATTCTTTGTTTTAAATTCATATATGTATTTGGTAGCACTATGTAAAAGTTGAATTTTAATTTAAAAATTGTTTAACATGTGGTTAGCAATATATTTGTAAACAAATAGTAATTATCAACTAAGTTTTAGTTTAATCTAAAAGAATACTAATTAATTTATTAACATTTTTGTCATAAATTTTGTATAATTATTATTTTACAATGTTATATAGATTATAATATATTATATTTTACATGTTTTAATTTTAAGAAAAATGAAATGAGTTTATAATGTAAAATAATATATTTGTCAAAGTTAAATATTCTTTTCGTTTGGATCACAAAATTTGAAAATAAGAAAAATAATCTAAATTTTCAATCAAAGAGACCCTGAATTTTTTGTTTTTGAAGCTTTCAATAGAACTTTATTTTTAATGTTTAAGTTTTAGAAAAAGAATTATTTTAGTTACTATTAATATTTTATGACCTAATATCTGCTATTTGATTAGGAGCAAAGCCCAAGTTGAAAGGATAGAAGTACTCCTTGTTATAATTTAATGTCGCTCCGATTTATACTTCTAAAGTTTCAAAATCATAAAATTATATATATAAAAGTTTATAATGTAAACTTTCTGCCTTGGTAAAAATTTACGTTGAGATCTATAGAGCCCAAATCATCAAGAAAACTCGTGGCTTTGAAACGAGCGCTGTAGAATAAGATATAGTCAAGAGTCTGAGAAGACTGAAATTTGGCACTAGACTTGGGCGGCGCTGCACCTAGGCACCACCCACCACGGTGGTACTAAATTAGAAATAGCATTGATTTCTCAATACCAAAGATTTTATAATGTCTAATTTACTCTCTCCAAGTTACCAAAATTGAAATATTTTTATTTTATATATAAAAAGTTAATCTGCAAATTTCTCTTTAATTGTTTCTTACTTTGCCCCTAATAAGCCTAAATATCTTTCATGGCAATAAACTACCCAAAAATTTTCAATGCTAAAACATCGATCCCTGTTATGAGAATCTCACAAATATAGATACAACACTCGATACTATAATCTCTAAATACAGAGTCACTTCGCCATCCCAAATCTGTGACAAATTTCTAGTACTATAATAGTAACCTCGAGAGTCAAATTTAATCAAGCGTCAAATGTATGCACACACATAGGAGGGAGGGAGAGAATAGTAAATTCAACTCCTATAAATACAAAAGAGTAATCACAGCCATGCCCCTTGTGTCTGGCGTATCAACTTTTTTCAAAAGAAAAGAAAGAAAAAAAGAAGATTAAAACAGTAGATTATCATCCTACCTAAACTTTTTTTTTCTTTTTCGTTTTCCAAAGTACAAAAGTAACTGGAAAGTGCAGAAAAACCACAAAATACAGTGACTAATTACACAACTTCCCCAACCCTGTCTCTATAGAAATAGTTTTGAAAATGGCAGCTTCTACTTGTTCTCAGTCCCAAGTCACAGAGATCATTGAATTGGCAAGCCCTGATTCCTCAAATGTCATTTGGGCATCATAGTCCAGAGACTTTGTAGCTCCTGGAATTGCATGTGCCAATCTGAATGCTTTTGTCTCACCTTCCTCTAACTGAGAATGACAGAATGACCAAAGCAACTGCAACATAAAAAGGCCCTCGGGGTTAAAATGGAGGCAACTTTTGACTACGTCATGCATATAGCGCTCAGAAAACCCGATCAATCCAAAATCAAACCATAAGAGTTGTGTTTGATTATAAGCATGTAATTATCTAATATCTTCATGCTTCTTAGAAGGGCTTGAATAATTCATCCATAATGTTTTGGTAACTATAGTGAGATGAAAGCGTAGGAAAAAGAAGGTATAAAGAGAATTTAGCATGCCATTGCAGCTCTTGAGAAACAGTATTACCTGTATTGGATCAGTTCGGAGGAAATTCCTTTGGTATCTACGTCCATTCGGAAGACGCACTCCGATCCTGCAAAGAAGACTTCTGTCACCTTTGGGTTCTTCAGGCAATGGTGGATAGGTTGGAGGCTTCTGTTCTTCCTTCTCAGCACTTTTTGCATCCTTATTCTCAGAAGACAATTTGACTGTTTCCTTCATGCCTTCTAGAGAAACTGCCAAAGCACGTTGCACTTCCTCGTCCTCCTCGTAGTCCTCCTCATCTGCAGACAATAGTGAATAAAATTTATACACGTTACACTAATAAATATTACAATCTATTAGAGGTTGACCAATAAGATACAAATCAACATACCAATCATAACTCTCATCACAATGAAATTGAATATTTAACTTCACATGGTTTGGTTAGGCCACCCCTTCAAAAAAGAGGGCAGAACTTTATGGGTTCAATTGATTAGGGCCTTCCAATGGTGCATTTGGCTGAAAACAAACAACCGGGTCTTCAACGATAAATCCCTCTCTTTCACTAGTTTCTATGATGGAATTATGTTCATTAGCTACTTATAGTTTTATTCGCTGTTTTTGTAGTATGTGCTTCTGTACTAACCTCCTTAATGTTACTTGTTGATATACCAATGTTACTTGTTGATATTCCCAGTTTTCAAGTTTGTTTTAAGGTGTTATAAGCTCAAATTCAACAAAAATATAACTTTATACCCTTCCCCATCAGAACTATTACCACGCAAAAGACAGACATCTCATAAAACTATTGCCCCAATTTAATTATCCCATATCATCCGACCAAACTTAAAAGTGAACTAGGGAAAAGTTCTCCATTTCTTTGGAATACTAAATTTACAAACAGAACAAATGATCAAGACTTTCTCGATCTTGTTTCCATTTGTTCCTCTCCTGTTATTTTATTAGCTAAAGAGCCTGGTCTTGATTCTTGAGTCTTGTCAACATCTCAGTTTGTTTACCCAAATGCATCGACGATTGGTAAGTTGAAGCTCTCTCAGGTTGGTGGTTGAAAGGAAAACAAATCCTCTAGAAGGAGCTTTACTGTGGTTTATTGGGTTGGAAAGAAATCAAAGAATTTTTAACGATAAAGAAAAATCCATGGGTAGCCATCTATTATTATTCTGTACTAGAGTGCCCTTCACAAAAATTTATTTGCCAACTATATAACCTTTATTTTACCTAACCGAGATAGGAAGGTTTTAATGCAATAACTTTCTTCGGGCAGGGGTCTCTCTCACCCACCCAACCATCCCTTGTGAACGAGAACAAAAGACCACAAAATGACTTAAACCAAGAGTAGCTTAACTGTCTCCAACAACCCTTTTAGCTCACTTTCTTCCCTCTCTTTCAATTTTTTCTTGTTGTAATATTCCAATTGTTCTCAAGTCCTACACTTCAAAAACTGATTTGAACGTTCCTTCCACCACTCCCATATAAATTGGGGATATTAAACAGCCTAGGACTCTTCATCTACTCATACATCCTTAGCTGTTCGTTTGCCTTTCTTTAAATAACATATACGAAAGGAAAAAAGTTCAAATTATACAATCTCCCAAAGTGAGAGAGAAAAAAGAGAACATGAAAAAGTAAAAGGGAAATACAACCCAAAAGAACAAGAAAGAAGAAAACAGCAATGAGGGGCAGAACCAGCCAAGAATCACCACGAGCAAGTCTTGAAACACCAAAGGACTTCAAAAACGTCTTGGAACCGAAGGAAGAGACAGCCTTCGAAAAAACCACAAGGATGATGATCATCCCAGAAAAAAGAAGAGGCCCTCCAAAAAACTCATCAAACCAAGATAATCACAAAGAAACGCTGCTCCAAATGACGTTCCTTGACACCCTAGAAATGCTTCCAAAAACAGCCAAAAAGACTCCGGAGAAAAACCTCCTTGATTTTCCAAGAATAAAAAAATTAACCTACTGCGAGTAAAAGAAAACTGGCGAAAAAACCGTTTTAAAAACGTTTTCAGCTTCTCTGACACCTCGAAAGTCGAAGAGCCCTGTTAATCGGTTCAAGGGTGATCCCAATTCTCCAAAAAAATAAGGGATGATTGTTTGCTTTGGACTTTCTAACTTCTTGTCTTCCTTTTGCTCATTGAAAAGAAACTGAAATTCTTCCTCAAACAATTGTTCACCGAGATCTTCAATCGAAGGTTCGAAAGACTTTTGGGGATGAATCCAAACTACTAATACTAACTGCATAATTATCAGAATCTTCTTCATCACCAAAAAGATCTGATCTAGAGACAAGTTCCTTCGATCCCTACCTTCATGTGGAGTTGATTGATCCATATGAAAGGGACTTTAGACCAACTTCTTTTCCTTTATTGCTTGAATATTTTTTTTGAGACCATCATCATAGAGCCCCAGTTTGTTCCTAGTACCTCCAAATCCTTTTTGACCGAATGAGCCCAAATTTTCTCATTCTTTTTGGAAAAAACTTCTTCAGCCAATTGATTTTCTTTAAATGCCTCTAAACAGGTCCTTCAAAAACAGTGCTGAGCTGACTTTTGGGCTCTTGATAGACAAACTTTCAACATATCCTAGAAGGCTACCCAGCCACTTTTGTTCCAACCTCTCTTCCTTCCCCCAGAAGGAGGCCAAACAGTGCACTCCAAGTCGGATCTGAACTTGCGGATCTACATGTTCCCATCTCATCTCTTTCTTGTTTAAAGAAGTAAGCTTGCACAGGTCCTTGCAACAGATCAACAAGATGCTTTTCAAACCATGTCAGATGGGAATGATGTAGAGACAGCACGGATGTAGTAGACAAATCCTCCACAAAATAACAATCTTTCTCAAACCTAATGCAGTAGTAATTATTCTCAATACAATAACTATTAATCTCCATTGAAGCAATAAGGAAATCTAGGAAGAACTGAACAATGAACACTGAGCCGTCGTTGCCATTGCGTCTGTAGGGGAAGCCTCATTTACGTTCACGCAAGAGGTCATGCAGGAGGAGCCTTGCTGACGTTCTTGCAGGAGGAGCATCGCTGCTGGTTCGAATCGCTCGTGACGTCGAGGAGAGGGTCGTTGATCTGGTGCATCGTGGGTGCTGCTCGCCGGATCTACTACATAGTGGAGACTCCACCGCCAGAGTTTGGTCATTATGCTGTTGTTGTTGGAGTCACTGTTGCTCGCAGAGGAAAGCGTCTCTGGAGTGTAGTATGTGTAGGGGGAGAAATGCTGCCATCACCTCTTGGAAGCCCACTAGATTCAAATCTCCATTGTGAATAAAGATTTCCTTTGTGGATTCTTTGAGAACTTTTAACATATACATTAGTTAAAAGTTCAAATTGTTGTTTTGTTAGTTGAAAGTTCATTGGTGAATTAGTTAGAGGGAGTTTTCTAATGAAAAGTAGAGGAGGCCAAAACAACGGGATGACAACTTCCAAATTAAAAGCAAACACATTCATCACTTATCATCAATCTGGCATTATACTATCCTATCACACAAGAAAAGAGATGAAAAAAATGGATAATCAAACATGAAAGGTGGAAGATAAAAAACTCTATACCTTTAACTTTCAATGAAGTAATGGAACTCTCTCTTGGACGTTTATGAGATAAGGTGACATGATGATCCTTGGGACCTCCATCCATGAAGGGCAATAGATCCTGCAGGAAACAAGATCCACTTTCCAGATCAACCAAACCCATTACTAAGATAGACTATAAAAATCTCTACAATATTCACCTCAAGTAAACGTTCAGGTTGAACCATTCCAAACCAAGAGTGCATTTTTTGCCCTGTAATAGGATCGATGACAAGAACTGCAGGAATTGATTCTAGTTTATAATATGTGCAGACCTTTTGGCCTTCAGTTGAATCGTCATACACCTGTGCAAATAACAGGTTATGATTTAAAAAAAATGGAACTGATTACGAAATCTAAAAAAACTAATGTTATTATAAATGATAAAAGGGTGAGCACAAAATTCAAGGGACACATTCTTTTGAGGAACAACTTGCCTAAATTGTTCTGTTGTCTAGAGATCCAATTTTTAGGGAAAAAGAAAACAGAGAGAAAATTTATGCGAAGTGATGAGAGGCCATAAGCTATGAGTGCAAATAAGATTTGATTCTTAGAAACAACTATATATAGTAGTAAATATATGAACATTATTCATCTAGCCTAGAATGAAGCAGACCTGCCAAAAGATAAAATTGGTAGTAATGGTTTGAGAAACAGCTTCATTTGCCCATGTATCCCGGTTAAGCTACACAAAGCAAAATAGTAATCCCAAGTAAGTGCATATTAAAAGGTAAACAACTGAGATGAGAAATCACCATGGCAGAAAAGTACCATGTGCGAGGTGAATTCCTTGGTGGACTGCAAATTTACAATCAGCCACTTGTCCTGGACGCAGGCAGCACCTTTTGCCTGAAGTCAGAAGATAAAACCTTGAATACCATAAACGTACAAAATAAACACAGAGCTGCATCATTACATTACACTATCGGCAAAATGCTCGGGATCATCTTTATACTAAACTTAAATCATAAGAATGAGAACTAGAATTATGATCTTAAGATTGAAATAAAATTAAAACTAGTACAAGTCAGAAGCTTCAATTTTTTTTTTTTTTATCTTAAGATTGATTCCCTATTTCTTTTTTATTGTTTTTAACTCTAATTAAAAGAAAAAATATTGACATAGTTCTATAACATACTACAATACCTATTAGGCATACAAATTTTACATTTTTATGATCTTTATTCTATTTAAAATGAAGCTTACGCCTCGTACCACCTCAAGGCTAACACCTCGCCTCGCCTCTCTATGAAAAAAAGTATCAAACCTACCTTAAGATTTTAAAACATTAGTTAGAAAGACAAAATATCAAGGCTTCCCTTTCCAAGTGAATTTGGGAATACCATGGTAAGAAAGAGCCTTCGTGGAGGAAGGTCATAGATGCTAAATATGGAACCACTTCTTTCAACATATAAAGCCCAAAAATGTGCAATGTTCCTCATCTTCTTCTTAGGCCTTCCTTACCTCCAAGATCACATTAGTTGTGGATAAATGTTGTCAAAGCCATTATTCCAGAAATTTGGTTTAGGGTTTAGGTGTGGTTTGAATGCGTTGAGTTGGAAAGCTAAAAGCTTTATGATGGTGTGCACAGACTTAAATTTTTTTTTTTAAACAAGAAACAAACTTTTCATTGATAATATGAAAAGGAAGAAAAATTTTCAAGGATACAAGCTCCCAAATGAAGCGAAAAAAGAAGAAAAACAACCAAACAAGGAACAAAAATACAAGACAACAGACCAAATAATCAAAACCACAATCAACTAACCAAAAAGCAACCTCAACGTATCAAAAGCCAAAGTAAAAGCAAAAAAACTAAAAGAGCGGAGGCTTGAAAAAACTTTCTTCACTGAAGCTGGCAAAACCAAAATGACTTTCTGCAAAGGAGAATCCAAAACAACCACTTAATAAGCCTGAGGATCTAAATATTTCATGAGTAACAAGTATAAAGGTATTGACCGGCAGAATGAAGAAGTAATGAATCTGAAACCTCTCCCCACCAAGAAAAGAGTCACCTAATACAAGCTCTTCAAAACTCAGCCCGTTTAAAACCCTTAATGCTCTCCTTTAAAGCCAAGAAGAACTTAAAATAGGCTCATCCCTCAAAACTGCTGCACTGTAGAGCCAACCAAAAATTTTGCTACCCTTACAAAAAGCCTACTTATCCATGACCACATGGCGTGTAAGAATGGTAATAGAGCCTCTACCTCTTTTCGAACAACACTTGGCGGCTGGACGTTTCCTTGGCATCTTGTTTTCCCCTCAATTATTCTATCAGCCTCTACAAAACATCCTCGGTGAAGGATCTATGAGAGGAGGAATCAGTTCCCAGGGACTTGAGGATAAGGACCCTTCTTTTTCCATTAAAAAACAATTTCATTTTTTATATTAAATTACAAAAAGAGGGGCAAATCCCAACCCAAGAGAGTTACAAAAAAACCTTCTCCAATGGGATAAAAGAGAAGAATAGCTATAGTGGTGGGAGAGGGAGCATTTACACCAAGTAATAACCAAGAAAATCATAGCATCAAAAGTCAGTCGAAAAAAAGTTCCGTATCTTTATTCTTTGAAGATTCTTTTAGTTTCATTCTTGCCAAGCAACCCAAAAGAAAGCTGGAATAAAGTTCATCCATAGAAGCTGCTTTTTCTTTTAAAACAAATGATTTCCAAAGGACGAGAGAGAGATGGAGAGCTACATGCAGACCAAAGCTTGATAGAAGAATAGCCCAAAAATTTGCAGCAAACTCACAGGAAATGATGACGTGCTATTGAGATTCTAGATTGTTCTTGCATAATGAACACCATTCTGGGGAAACCATTGTGGGGGAATATTCATACAGGGCATCATCCCTCTGTTAATAGCCTTATGGCTAAGCTCTGAAAGACAGAATTTTACCTTCTCTGGGTAGTGTTTTTTCCCAATGGCTTCATAAAGGTGAGGGACAGTATCCAGAATTTTCAAAGAAAGATCTTGTAAAAGTGAGGTAGGAGAAGGGGGGATGGGAGGAGAGAGAGAGGCGTGTGTGGATGGGTAAGGGCGAGAGAGGTAGTTTTCAGAGCCGGTTCAAAGGGGAGGGGGTTTGTGAACAGTTTGGTCCCAGCCACGAGGAAGGTATTTTTTTATGCAAGCTCAATCGGTTTTAGGGGAACCAAGGGAGGCAAAGAGAGGCAAGGGTGATTCTAGATAGAGAAAGGCCCAAAAAAATCTCCCAAAATTCTTTCCCTTTTAAGCTTTGACCTCCAATATTCTAAGGAAGACTTAGTTTGGGGGCCAGGCTATATTACCGAAAATGAAGCCAAGGGGCCACCCGTTTCAGAAACCAAACAGGGCAGGTTTGTAGGCAGAGGGATGTCCTCTGGTACACAGCATGTGAGGTTGCCAGCACGAGTTGCTCTATGGTACAGACCTAGAAGTCTGTCACCACCTTTGTCCGGCCGAAAGTCAATATTTTCCGGTGGTAAAGCTCCATGGATTTCGGCTTAACATCCAATATAGTGTTCTGTGGTAAAAAAGGGATCAATTTGTATTGATAGCTAAAAATGTTCAGCAAAGATAGTTGTTGGTACAAAACCATTAGCGTTCCTTCTGACTCGAATAGTTACTTCCAAAAGATCCAAACGAGAAAGGGTTTTCTTGGAAGCCCCAATGCAGCCACCCAACTATAGTCTATTATCGATGAAGTGTAGAGTTTCTTCATCCCATTTATCCAACGACCGATTCCTAATTTTGATCCAACTCCTGTAAGAAGGAACCATGGGAGATGCTGTTGAGGCCTGGCTGTTCCAAGGGGGCAAATTTTAAGTTGAAAGCATCCACTTTGTAGCTTTATTTTATTGAAGAAAGAGTTCGAGCTTTTTCCTTGTCTTCACATTTGAGAAGAGCCTTGTCTATTGAAAAAGGGTTGACGGCACAGGAATGGCTGATGTGGACTTGAAGGGCTCACATGATTGTAAACCAATCATCATGAAAATGTCTCCGGAAGACAATGATAGAGGTGTCCAAGTTGGGTAGCTATGTGGTTTAGTGTCCTTGCGTATTAACTCCTTCTGGGGCTCGGCTCTCCTCTTCTTTAATACCTCACAAAAGGAGGTAGAGGGTTTTAGCTAGTGACAGGTTGGTAGAGGACAATAAATGTGCAGGGTTGGTTGAAGCAGTGTTTTTAAAAGCTCGAGGTACACTAAAGCGCAATAGACCTCTGGAGCTTAAGCTCGAGGTGCAAAAAAAAACGCATGCCTTTTTTCGCAAGGCACACTATATATAAAATAAATAAAAATATATATACACACGTATATAACATATAAAAGCCAAACAATATTCAAAGTTCAAACATTATAAAGAGAAAAAAAAGAGAGAGAGCAAAGGTTGAGAAATCACAAAGATGGAAAGCTGCTGGGTGGAGGTTTTGTTACAGAGAAAATATTTCCTTCCATGTGAAGGAAGAGAGGGAAATCACAGAATATTAAAGGTCAAATGATTCACGTAAATGGAGGGAGAGATAATTGAAAAGATTGTGGAAAGATTGAGATCTTTTCCAAAAATAAAGGAAAAGATTGGAAATTTAAAATATTATGGGCTTTGGGCTCATTTTGAGATTTAAAAAAACCCTAAATGCAAGGGTTGTTGCATTTAGGGTAATTAGGGTTTTTTAATAGTTTTACAGAAGCCCTTGAAGCTGCACTTTGCGCTTCGAGGCTTCGAGGGAGGCACGCGCTTAAGGCGTGTCTCTTTCATTTCACCTTGACTTGCACCTTGCACTTAGCACTTGGGCGCTTGCCCCATGCGCGCTTTTTAAAACACTAGGTTGAAAGAGCAGAGTTGAGCTGTGATGGAGTCTTGGCAGGGAAGTTTTTAAGGAGGTTGAGAAAGGAGAGCCATCCTTTTCTGTTTTCGACGACAGGGACAAGGATTTTGTTAATGCTTCCATTATTGCCCAACCTGGCAATCTCTACTAGAGTACTTTTCTGTTAAATGTCTTTTCAACCCACAGTGTTTGTTCATCAATCCTTGTTTCCTTGAAGAACTTTTGGTTGATGGGCAAATGTACAAGTAAAGCAAACCATGATCTGAGCCATTGAGAGAGGACTAGTAGATAGAAATGAAAAAGGATGTGACTAATAGATTCGGTGATCTTGGCACGGCTGCCTCTGCACCTGTTGTCCACATCAATAGAGAAGCTTTTCCATTCAATTACAACTGTTGAAGCGGCTGAGGTAGACTACTAATACATGGTTCATCGACGAGGAAGAGGTTAGAGAAAACATGGGGAAGATGGTGGAGGGCTGGAATGTAAGGGTGGGGTGAAAGAGGGGGAGAGAGGAGTCATTCTTTGGAAAAGGTAAGATTTCGATCAGCTTAGTTTGTTGAGAAGAAGACACAGAAAAAATTCTTCTCCCTAAAGAATTTCCATACAGATTTGTCTGGGAGTCCTGTTAATTGAACCAATGGAAGATACTGCAATAGGGCAGCCCATTCATCAAGTTCTCTACATTTTTATTTTATTATTATTATTATTTTTTTTTTTTTTGGTAATCCCTCGGTTAAATGGAGTTAAGGCACTAGTGCATGAGTTGTGGTATGAAAGAAACTTGAGGTTTTTGTTGAAAAGAAGCAGCCTCCTTCAGTACACTTGGTTCCAGCTAAATTCAAGGCTTCCCTTTGGAGTTCTTTATCTTCTCTATTTAAATCTTTTTCCCCAAGTTTGATTAGTTTGATTATCTTGTTTTTGGGTGCTTTTATTGCAATTTTATGAGTTTTGGATTTATTTGTAATTTTTGCTTTTTCACCCTTTCGAGAGTTTGTTCCTTTTCATTATTTCAATGAGAAGTTCGTATCTTGTTCAAAAAAAAATTATTATTTTTGGTAAGGAATGAAATATGAGTGAAATTACAAAAGGGTGGGGGAGGTGTAAGCCTTGCAAACCAAGGGAGTTACAAGAAACTTCTCAAATTGATCAACCTTTAATGTTCTCAACCTTAATGTTCCATACTCCTGAATCAGCCACCCAAAATTCCTACAACAGCATGGTTTTTCAAGGATAAATAAAAAAAATAAGGGGGAACTTGTTACAAGCTAAGGCAGCACCCGACAGCTACAGATCCTCCCAAAGGAGATATTTGCCCCAATTCCAACCTTGTATGATAGGCAGACAAAGACCAAATTCTGATTTCAAGATATATTTTCAAGGACCTCAGGCAGAAGCAAAAAGAAAAGGCATGGTTTCGAGTTCAACGATAAGGATCCATATTTTGCATCAATGGCTTTCCTCTAAAGGGGCTGAGTTTTCTTGATGTATCTCCAAATCCCCTTGTAGAGGAGAGCTCTATTCTTGTTTTTAAGATTGTGGAGACCAAGACTGCGGTTCTCTAAGGGGAGAAGAATTTTTTCTGTCTCCTCCTTTCCAAATGTAGTTATTGTAAATTTCCTCTAAGGAAAGAATAACCCAGATGGCATCGCAATAAGAACATATAATACAAAGGGAGGTTTGTTAATGTGGCTTATATGAGGGTGCCTCTCCCTCCCTTGGAAATGTTAGAGTTCTTCCATGCTTGGAATCTTTTTTCTACTTTTTCAATCATTGGTTCCCAAAACGATAAGGTTCGGTGTTGCCATACACCTCTTCACCAAAATAGCCTCCAATCATTGACATTATTGAGTCACCCCTTTCATCAGATGTCCCCAAAGGGACTATTGGATCACCCCTTTTAAAAGGAGGGAATGTTCTTTGGATGCACTTCATCATGGCATTATTTTGGACTAATTGAAAGAAAAGAAACCAAAGGCTTTTCTTGGATAAGAAACAACCTTTAAATTTCCCAAATTTCATATATCAATGAAATTGTCTCTTTCCAAAAAAAAAAACCCTTATAATTAGTTTTTTTTTTTAACACTATAGCCTTCTTGGCCATTTATTGAGCTAAATTTCTCCCTTTTTTCATTATTACAGCATATCTTCTCTTTTCACCAATTGGAGATTTTTTTTTTTTTTTGTAATTACTTTGATTTGGGGCCGTTTTCCCCATCTTTCATAATTTCAGGCTATCAATGAAATTTATTCTTACAAAAAGGAAAAAAATAAACTCTAAATAATAATATAAACACACAACCAATTTCCTATTCTTGTTCATTTTTTATCCAACTTAAACACTATTGTGAGATTATGTATGTGAGAATTGACAATTGTTTGCTTCTTCCTCTAGTGGAAAAAACTGCCATAGAGGTAAGGGTTTTGAGGAAGGGCGAAGCCAGAAAGCACATGGTGCTCAAGAATAACATCCACGGAAATACCAAAGTTCAATTTGTTGTCTAGCTCATTGGGGCAGTGTAAAGCAAATTAGTAGCCTTATCTACACAGAAACCTGTAATATCCTCAAGATCTTCCTCCAAGTAACTTCTAACACTTTGACATTCAAAGTAGGTATAAAACAAACCATTATCCTCAAAGTGACACTTTGAGGTTTCAAATATATTGCAATGGCAAGACATGCAGTACATAAAGTAATGGCAAGAATTATATTGCCTTTGTAAAACAAAAATTACTGTTTCATTAGAGACAAAAAAAAAAAAAAAAAAAAAAAAAGAGGAATGAGAAGTTTAGCACAAATATGAATTATTCCATAAAATAAAATGCTTAACTTCAATTCTATTACCTTTTATAAAACCCAAAGATTCCTTAGCCCCTAAGAGCACTGTTGTCTCAATTTGAGCTGGTGTGTTAGACTGCTTAAACTCAAACTTGCATTTGGCAGCCAGTTTTTTAATCCCACTCACAAGATTACACAAACCCCTTGGTTTTATGAGAAATTTGTTTCTAAAAACAATTCCCTCACAAAATTCCTGACGCTCAATTTGAGAGAAGCTTGCACTACCGCCTCTTCACCTCCATCCTTTCATCTACTACCTAAACCCTACTTTTACCTCTAATGTGTTTTACCTCATCTCTCCCTCCTACCATCTTCCTAAATCTTTCCTTATGTCATTCCTTTTTTTTAGTACAAGTGGAGGTGGGGGATCGAACCCACAACATCTTGGTTGGAGATATATGTCAATTACTGCTGAGCTATGCTCGCTTTGGCTTCATTATGTCATTCTTATGGACAATTCTCTAGCTGGAGGTGATTATTATTGAAGAATATTTGAATAGTTCTTTTATTATGTACTCGAAAATAAAGTGATAGTTAGGAAATGTCAAAGATTTGATCTAACAAGGACTGAATTTATACAAGTTGAGTCTCCATCCCAACACAAGCGTGAAAAGAAGATAATGAAAATAAACAAACTACCAACCACATGAACACAGCCTTCTTTCTCTCAAAAGTACTAGGCAATGTTCCATTAATGCAAAACAATATGGCATGCACATCAAGAAGTTCAAACTTAATGATCTAAATTTCTGTGAAGATCATGAAGAAAAAAAGTACAACAAGGGACATGATACTAGCCTTTTCAAAGGACCCACTGAACATCAAATGGTAAGGAGGACGATACAGCGAAGCCAAATTATCTCGAGGATTGCCACTCGTGGATGCTGCACCTTCTTCTGATTCCCAGACATCATGAGGTTTCACTTCATTTTGCAAGTTCCGCAATCCTATTGATGAGCCAGATTCATTTGGCAGATAGCCCATAGTTGTTCTGGATAAAGTTAACCAATCTCCACATCTTAGAAAATAAAGTTAATCAAATAGCAAATACAAAATCGAATGTTGTATCATGTAGAAACAAACTAATGCAACATGAAGGCTTGAAGAATAGAAGAGCTTGTAAAAACCATTCTAAACATAAAATGAAAAGAGCACACAGAAACTTATGCTGAAAAATGTTACTACACTGTTTTGACTGGACGTATAAACCAATTTTGATACAAGCTAAAACGATGCAAGTTGGTAGTACAAAAATAATTAATTTTGCAGTCAAGGAAGAAAGTAGTTGAGGTAATTCATTTGTTTTACCTTCTGCGAACTGATGTAACAGCCAGCCAAAAAAAAAGCCTCAAGGAGTGTTTTAGAAAAATCACCAAGGATGCTCAAGGAAGAAGCTCTTTTTTCCAAGTGGGGTTGGAGATATTTTGAGTAACCTAATGGCATAATAGGGTAGCAAGTGCATATAGTGAAGATGTTTTTTGGTGGCATACTAGTATAAGGAGAAGAGGAAGTTGTAGAAGTGAGTTTCCATTTCAAAGCTTTAGAATCATGAGGAAAATTTTTCTTTTGTTAACAATGGTGACACTGAGAGGACTGCCTTTAGGAGAAATGATTGGATTGGAGGCAATGTTTATGTGAACAATTTCCTAGTTGGGTGGTTGTAAATAAAGTGTTTGGTGTTCGATTGTAGGGGTAGTGGGTGTCAATCTTGGAAGATTATTAATATATTACTAGGAGGAATTCAAGGGAGAAAGAAATCAGGGAATTTAGTTCACTGCCGGCCATATTGGAGGGTGCTTGTCCACAAACAGGAGACGAACAAATTTAAAAGGTGAGTTTTTCTGAAATTTTTTAGGTTCCGTCCCAGATGAGGACATTCAATAATTCTTTCACGCTAGGCAATGTTCCATAAATGCAAAACAATACAGCTTTGCCAAATGACCCAAAAAAACCTCCTCTCTCTTACTTTACTGGGCCATCCCACTATAGAGGGAAAAAGAAGCTTCTTTGGACGCACTTACCAGTGTTTGGACAACGTGGTATGAAAGGAATCAAAGGATCTCCAACGACAACAAAGCAAACTTCTGTTTATTTTTTTTATTCTAGCCTTTTTGGCTATCTCTTGATGTAAATTATCTCCCCTCTCCTTTGGATTGGGGCTATCTTCCCCTCTTCTTTTGTAACTTCATACCATCAATGAAATTGTTGTCTTTTTCCTTCTTTATCTATCCCCCACCCTCGACTTTGTTTCAAACCAATGATTTTCTTATTAACTTGTACGAAATATATTTCCTTTCCCACCACATAGGCTTCAAGGTTTCTTTTTCTTTGATGTCCTTCTATAACCCACTTTTTGTTCTCACCTCCATACTTCTCAGGACATTCCCGAAATACTAACCACCCTCATTCATTTATCTCCACAGGAATCATAATGTTTATATTCATTCCATCATTCATTTGACAAAGTCAGGACACCATCTAAACTGATTAGTAGCTTTCAACATCCAGCACGTTCCATTTTCAAATCCAGCCTTCTTAAAGGATTTATTGTTCAAAATTGGTTCTAAAGGAGCTCTACTAAAGCTTTTTGTTCTAACCATTGCAACTGCTCCCATTGCATTCTGCTATTAAAAGATGAGAACTTTCTCTTCTTCTCAACTTGAACCCAAATAGTTAATTACTAATCCAATGGAAAAAGAACTTACTTTCCGCACTACAACTAATAAACTCCATGGTGAAACTCAAACTGAACTCAATTTTCATAATAAAAGAATAAAAGAACACGTTGGAGAGGAGAGAGAGAGAGGAATCCTTTAGTCCCCTCAGTTTCTTTCTAACCAAGTCTTCTCAAGAATGGTGTTTACAACACAAGAAAGAATTGTCTTAAATTTCATCTTGAAAGGAGGTTGGAAATTAATTTATTTAATAAATAAGAAATCAATTAAAATTGTAAATTGATATATAAAAAAAAAAGTATATATTTTATGACCAGAAATGAACAAATTTTAACTTTATGAGTTTCATAGTCTAAAAACCAATTTAGAAATATATTCTACATCTTACTAATTTTAAGATATAAAGAACTTTTATACATTAGAAAAAAAATTAATTAAATTAAGGTCCACATGGTTATGAACATTCTTGAGTCAAAATTCAAGTTTATACAAATCAAAATGACAAAGGATAAAACTTTTTAAGGCTACCATTCAAGCTAGTTTTTATTTTGCTTACTATGCAGTACTCAATCAACAAATTGCCTCATTAAAGAATCCAAGACCTAATTAAATAAGGAAAACGAAAACCAGAAGCTACACATTAATGATATGCAATCATGAGTTCACCAAGAAAATAATATTTTCACTTGAAAACATAAAATCCCATGGCAGACACTACATTACATTTATGAAATACTAAACATAAACTCTATTGCTTTTAACCAAATTAACATCAACTCCTTTGGAGTTCACCATCAGACAACAGTGATCTTACTGTGTTAATGCATATGTGATGAAAAAACAACTAACGACTAAGAATGTCTACACACGAGGCAGATGCCCAACGAAATTCTATTAATTAGGAATTGGGACTAGCAATAAAAAATACAAAGAGTAGAATCAATAATGGATGTAAAATTATCACAAGTACACCTAAAAGACATAAAGCAAACCTAAAAGACATAAAGCAAGAGAGTGAATCAGCCATTAAGCAAGCACAGAAAAGATGCATACCCATACAACATTGCATCATCATAAAGAGCTTCCCTTATAACAGGTAGAGGAGGGCGGACTTCATCCTCAAATTGTCCAAATGTTCCAGCTCCCACATGATTTCCAGATTCACTGAGCCAATTGTAAAACCAATGTTAAAGAACTAACAATTGAGCTACAATTACCCACTCGTCACAAACATAAACAAAGGGCAGGACAAACATACTTTGAAGTCTGATCAGTTGTAGAATTGATTTGTTCATTTGTAGTTGGTGGTGAGGGTACAGATGATCCAGGCACTCCTCCTCCTCCTTCATTACCGACATAAAACAGCTGAATAGCATCCTCCAGCTTCCAACTTGTTGCCTGTCCATACAGCATTCAACGTTTAGAGTCATAAAACATATCAACAAGAAGTTTTTCTCAAAATAGTCTCAAAAAACTAAGAGAAGAGGAAGAAGAAGAAGTGCTTCCACAAGCTTCCAACATCTTGGTCCCCCTCCATAAATCATCCAATACATAGCCTCATGTAATATGTTAACTCTCAGTTTTCATCGAAGTAGTCCAAAACCCAAGGGAAAGAACAATAACAAGAAGAATAAAATCAAGAACTTACTTGATTAAACAACAAAAAAGAGGAAGTACCAGAAAGGGAAAGAATAGATATGGAGACTCATTTAGTAATAAATATAAATGTAGGATATGAATATATATAAAGAAAATTCTTGAACTAAAATCTTGATCGGGGAACTTGATAGATAGCATTCCACCCCACAGAGACAAACGCATCATGCTGTATTCTCCAACCCCACAGCCGTAAACCAAACACCAACATTAAAAAAGGGTCCTGAGTTCTGATTCCGAACCCCTCAGTGTCGAGTTGAACAGATAACAACAACATTAGCCATAAGACGAAGTTTTCAATCTCGAATACAACAGAGTAGAAGTTGAGTGAACAAAAAGAACTGGCAAAAGGGGATGGAAAGAAACCTGCAAAAATTGCCTAGCAGTGTCGGCAGTTTGGCCCACAGCAATCTCGAGGAAGGAGGAGACCATACTCTGCTTATCGGTGGCTGAGAGCACCCCTTCCATTTCCCCCCCTTCGAATCGCGACGATCCGCACACTGCAAAATGGCGTTGAAAGAACAAATTTTCTTAGGTTCTTTGATTCGCTTCGCTTCGCTTCGGCGGGTTCCAATCGGCAATCAATCAGTTAAATAGTGTCACAACGCAGGCAAATCTTCTTGCGACTACCAAAATTGCCAGTGAGATCTAATCGGCGACGAGATTTTGAAGATTCCCAAAAGTGAAAAAAATAAATAAATAAATAAAAACGAAATTAGAACAAATTAAGAGAGAGAGGATGGAAACATCTTCCGGTAGAATTCATAAGTATTTGAAGTAACCTTTTTACTGACCAGTCGCAGAGTCTTGTGACAGTCGAGAGACCTACTGGTTTAAATCATTTCTTTTTTCTTTTCTTTTTTTTTTTGGTAATAACTAAGGGCCGTTCGGTGTTCCTTTTTTTTCCCTTTTGTTTCTTTTTTTAGATCCTAAATTTTTAAAATATCTTCGTCTCTAAAATTTTAGATTAGTCTTTCTATATGGGTACTTGAAAGATTTTAAAATATCTATTTTGGTTTTGAACCTTTTTTTGGCTTTTTAACAAATCAATAATGTAGTTTTGATATGTAGGTATAATAGCATGTTAATTTGCGCCTGAGTTCAATATAACGTAGGTTGGAGGTAATCATGAATTTTAACTATTTTGAGAACGCGTGCCAAATGGACGAGTTGACCTATAAGGGAGCATCATATACGAGGAAGACCTATATAGAGAAGAGAAAATAGTTCGACGCTCAAGTCAATAAGAATTTGATGTATCGCTCCTAAGACGAGAAATCATAATTACATACATGCATATGGAAATGATCTCTGTATTTATAAGCTAAATCTTATGGGTCACGTGAGATACCTCGACTTGGTCCTCAAGAGCTCTTGAAGTTAATGACCGTACAAATCATTTCTATTTATCCTTAATGAGCTTATAGTTTCGCCATTGTGCAATCCAAGGTATTATCTATAGATCATGTGAGATTATCTATTATTCTCCCTCCATTTGGTAGATCATATTTTACCCTCCAATAAATTGATATTTAAAAATATTATATCAATGATTAACATAATTTTTTTCTTCTAAATTGAGAACTAAAATAGATATTTTAAAAGTCTAGGAACCAAAATGAAATAAAGTTTAAAGCTTTAGGATGAAAATGAATCTTTTTAGTAACTATTTATGGTTCATTGTTCTTTCTGCCTTATTGAAAAATACAAAAAAAAATGTATGATAACTATTTTTTTGTTTCTCATTCTTTCAAATATTAAATTATAAGTTAAAGTTTTTAAACTTCAAATGTATTGTTGAAAAAATTCTTGAATTTTAAAATAGTCTAGTAGATCCTGAACTTTCAATTTAAAATTAGGTACCTAAATTTTAAAATCGTTTAAGATAACTCTGCCTTTTCAATTTTGTATCTAATACTTTGACTTATTAGAATTAATAGTAAAATACAAAGTTGCTTAGTTCAAAGCCAAAACACCCTCTAAGTTTGAGATCAACCCAAGCGTGAATATTTCTAAGGTGTCCAAGACTAAAACAAGAATTGCATAAAAGAATCAACACTATCATAAAACTTTCATGCAATAATTTATAACTTGACTATGTTTATGCAAGGGTCTGCACAATGATAATTCACGAACCAAGCTCGAACCCGGTCTCCGGCTCGACCTGAACACAAGAGTGGACCTGCACAAGAGGGTAAACAATCTGACACTCAAGTCAGTATAGGTCGGACTCTGTATTTAGTTCGAGGTGAGATTCGATACCTGAGCGTGAAATGAGGCCCTCTATTTATAGGTGGTGGATCCGACAGTACTCACGACCGGCGGTTACATGTTCTTTCCCATATCGGACCTGTTGGGTTCCGAGTAGGTCGATCCTCCCTCAGATCGGACTTCGGCATGTACACAGCCTTTTCCCCATGGGCGAACCTAACCTCTTCGGCAGGTTCGAGGTAGAGCTGGGAGATTTTTAATTCTTAAACACCAATAAGCGTCCTCCACGTGTCTTAGGTAGTTTTACCCCCAAACATTGGCCCCTTCTCTGTTAGGTTCGATCTCGACCTGACAGAGAAGTTCATCCGACTTAATTTTGGACACGTGGCGACTTCCAATTCGTAGAGAGAATATGACCGTTGCGGAAGACGTTTCGATCTGCCAGGCTGTCAGAGTACTCAAGTATTTCGTCGTTACGGATCTCGAGATGATCCTAGCCGCTCATTCATTACACGTGTATGGTGCAGTGGTTTTTCCGATTAGCTATAAATAGTTCCGAGACTTCAGGTCAAATCTTACGTTCCCTGAATTTCTAGAGTTCGACCTGAAACCAGCTCGAACCCTTTCGTAGGTCAGTCACTTTTCCTTGTTTTTTACTCTTGCTTTCAAATATGGTGGTTTTCTTATCTTCCCCTTCCAGTAGCGATAAGCCTAAGTAGCGCAGGTCGGACTATAAGTAGTTCGCCCCCCAAACCAAGTGGTTCTGGGGAGGACTTAGCTCTTAGGTTAGAGTTCGAGCTGGAGGAGATAGAGAACTTTAGGTTTTCAGATGATGGGGAAGATAGTGACACCTCCACCTCGGGCCAGGGTTTGAAATACCCTTCAAAAATGCCCGAGCACTATCTTGGACCCCTCCGTAGGGGGTTTAAATTCCAAATGATATCCTCCTCAGGATTCTGGAGGAAGGGGAGAGAGCTGACAACCCCCCAAAGGGGTGGGTCACTCTTTACTTGAAAATGTTTGAGTACCGCCTTAGACTTCCCCTTCACCCTTTTGCCCGGGAGTTCCTCAACCGAACTGGACTGACTCCTGCTCAAGTGGCCCTCAATGGATGGGGTGTCATTTTGTGCTGGCCATCCTTTTCTGGTTGCGAGCTCGATATGTAGACGAGGCCGAGCTGCTGAACGTTGAGCAACTTCTGGGATGCTTCAAAGCCAAAAGGATAGCTAAAAAGCCAGGTCGGTACTATATGTGCGCAAGGAAAGGCGTAGACGGTATAGTCAAGGGGCCGACCTCCATCAAAGGATGGGTAGGGAAGTGGTTTTTTGCCTCTAGGGATGGCTGGCAAATGACGAGTAAGGTCGTACCTTCTTTGACGTTCCCACTAGGTTTGGGAACTTAGGTATGGAGTCGTTCTTGTTTCTTTTCCTTTTATTATGTATCTTTAATAATTTTGACTTTTGCTTCTCACATCTAACTCGAACCTTCGTTTGCTTTGTGCAGTATCAATCAAACCAATTCCCGAGCTTACTCAAGCCACCTTTGACACC